ATCCAAGCTGCTCCGCTACTGTTTCCTTTCTTCTGACTTCTTCTCCCCCATGACAAGACAAACCATCCAGTCGAATCATACTCTGTAAGAGGGATGCGCTGTCCTGCCTCTATTTTTATCGCGATACCCATGCGCGGGACCCCAGCAGCCTCATTTGCAAAATTATGCTTAAATCAGGCGAGCGAAGCCGTTATTTCAATCCTGGCGGTGGCGGAAGATGATTTAAGCATTGCCAGTTAACTAACTAACCAACCCTGCCCAGGCCAGCGACCTGTTGGCGGGCATGGGCAACAACCATTGATTGGCACACCTAATATCTGGGCACTAATATCTGGGCAGCTTGCGACTAATCTCGCCGTAAATGCCTCAGCTCAGCCCATCAGCTCAGGGGTCAGGACCGAGGAATTGTCTCCTTTGAGCCATATATGAAACGGAATGGTTGTTTTTTTTTTTTTTTTTTTTTTTGAACAGTGCGTCCTCTCTGATGATTCCCACCGTCCCCTTGCCAGGTACCACCGTGCGTGGGCGTAGCATGTGATCCTCTGTGACGATTGGTTTGGGGACAATGCTTGTCGGCTGCAAGGATTCGACACTGGACTATTTCGAGCCACACAGAAGGAGTTGATTTGCAGCCACCGTCATTTGTATTATGGAGATGGACAGGGTAACATCGCCCCAATACAAAAAACCAGGGATTGATGATTTCTCCTCACATTCAATATGGCTACTACGATTGCCTACGACTAACTTATCGGCGCGGGTTGGTTTTGGTCGACACGGTGAGGGGTCAAGAGCGCTTGGACTGGACATGCTGGCTCTCCGCCTTAAAAATCCGGGGTAATTCAACGCATTGCTGGTCTCTTGCCGGGCTGCTTCCGACGCGGAAACTGTCGGTGGGAATCCTGGATGCCGCCAAGAGCGGCATTGTCACCTTGGATCAACTTGATACTGTGATTGTCCGCTGAAGTTTCAGGTGAGTCTGTCTTATTTGATGTTATTAATTATTGGCATGATGATCCAAACAAATACAAACAACTAATTGATTTTGTAAGAGTAACTCTTGATTTAGGTGAAACGACAGGGTCGCCAGCTGGAGGATTTCATTCATCTTGAAACCAACTTCATTCCATCTCTCATGAATGTGGGAGTGATAACGGCGACAGTACAAATGCTGACAGCGCCACAGCATTTGGTATGGCCGTATGGGGCATTTCCCCTTCCACCGCAGCTCCGTGAATTCGCGCTGTCTTTCGATATCTTGGAGGGAAGGATATAGGATATGACATTATTCACTGTTTCTGTGCCCTGATGAGAAAGAGTCGCTACTCTTTCTCACCCTTCTCTTCTTTCAATGTGTGGTAGATACCCACCACAGCATGTCGCTTTTTCTTCTCATGTTCTCTTTAGTTTTTCTGTCCATAAAATAACCGAATTCGGCTTTTAACCCCGGCTTTAACCACACCCTGGAGAAATAGCCATCCTACTACTTCTCTTTTTGTCCTAGTTATTTGACATTCATGACTGGCGTCGTTAGTTACTAAGTCGAGCTATTTTCAAAGCTACATGGGTGGTTTTGTCTTGCCCTGTCGCATCGAAAATTCTCACGATGACAGGTAACTACTTTATTTCCCCATCCCCAGGATAAAATGAGATTGAGTTCAAATGCTCACTAACTACCACATGAAAGCCAACAAAGCCACGCACCAGTGAAAGCCCTGCAAAAATTAGCTCTGTGTCAAATGATACGCCTGCGGATAGGTCGTCTAATTCCGACAGAGGATCCTTCTACTGAAGTGCGGAGTTGTCATCTTCTTTCTTACCAGCTGCAGAGGATTGTCAGCAATTAGCAATCAATGTTGATAATTATTAACTGTGGACTTTCTGATGAAGTGGAGGCAGGCGTCGAGTGCGGAGTGGTAGTGAATGGCTTTCAAACAACTTCGTTTTGCGTTTTAATCTTAAGAATCCCAAGTTGCTTCGGAGAGGGGATTAATATCTTCTGAAGATCGGCTCCGCAAATATTTGACTTCTGAATGATATACCAGCCAAGAGACCTAAAATTTTATATCTCGTTATCACCAATAGAGGAGGGCGGGAACGTTGAGCCAATATTTTTACTACTCAACAACGGCGTCCTGTCAGAAGGACTTGTGCTACGGCCCAATAATTATTACCGGTAACAGGCCAGTTTAAATTAGGGAGGTTTCACACTGGCAAAAAGGAATATGTCAAATCGCGAAATATTTGATGTGAATTTAGAGCGGAGAAGTCTATCTTCGACGCAGGAGCCAGTTTACTTTGTCATACGCAACTCTCTATTCCCCGTTGTCCCGTCTTCTTCCCCTCTCCTGGAATGCTGCCGGCGCGGTTAGAAAGGGAGGGCAGCGGCTACATGCATGGAGTCCCTTCCAGACGACGACGAGTTTCCTAGGGTTTTGCGAATGCCCAGACACGGAACCAATTACTGCTATCTCCTAACGGCCTTAGCCTTTCTCCGAGTTGAAGTCATGTTGAGGAATCATGCTTATGGAGCCGCCGCAAAACGGATCTTCAATCATAAATTGCGATCAGGGTTAGCATATGCCACATGGTTACTTTTAGCAACCGCTTTGGCTGGTCTGACATCCCACCATAACCAATAAAAGCTTATGAGAGAAGGGAATTTAACGAAGATATATCTGGAGAACTGACACGTTACTCTGCCAGGATATGCAACTCCACCAAACAAGCTCAGCTAAAACTGCATTTTAAATGGACGAAGCTTCTAGGAAATCACTTACAGGGGATGGAATCATTTGCTGTTGACATGGTGGCAAAGGCACCAATGATACAAGGTTGTAACTATGACGCAATAATGGCGCTGACATTTCGTTCTTTTCACCGCTCAATTTACAAGGTACCCCAAGTCTAACCACTCGATTCCATGCTCTGCTGTTTTCAAGATACCCTTCAGGTTGTTTTCAATCTCCCTATGTTGACACCATCGTCGATGGTCGAGCAAAGCGCAAGTACTGTATGATGGGTCCCACATCGAACCGGAAGGCTCAAGGGTGTCTTTCCTGATCAACTTTTCTTCTCCAGGCCGAAATATGGGGCTCCTGTGCTGGCTCAGTAGCTAGCCAACGTCCATGAAGCCTCAACCAACGCCTAATAAGTAGTATGCCTAGTGGCATGCACGATTATCGAGCTTATATATGCGAAATGCTACACATCATGGATCAGTATTCACAGAATATATGCCCTTGCTAACTGTTGTCAAATCAAGCTCTCTGAAAGCCAAATACTCAGTGACTCTTCATAGTTAAGCCCTATCACAAGATCGACTTCACATTCCAAGAGAATATCAGTAAGGAATCCGTCCAACACGCATGTCATCATTGGTAAAACAGGAAAAGAGACTGGGGTGGAGAGCTGTAGAGGAGTGGCAATGCGGGATTGCAAACCCCTTTCGAGAGAGTATTCCCATGGGAAAATCGATCAGGTTTGGGATGTACCACAAAGAACTTCCCGCGACATGGATCCCTTCTATCCCACCTATTGCAAATCAAAGATATGGCGCCAATGACTTATTTCCCTATATCGGCCTCGGAATATCTAAACTCCTACTGCGAAGAGCACTACCTTAACCAAATTGTGAGAGTACTTCCAATCAGGATGCTCCTAGGCTACCTCATTTGGTCTTGAAATATCACCTCTTCAGTGAGCGTCGCCCTTCTATCAACACCGGTTCCAAATGGACCTTATTTCCCCTCTTCCACTGCCAGCTCATCCCCTGCCGCGACATAGGCCGCAGGGCTCGGTCTCCTGCAATCGAGCGTGCCCAATGCTCCCGGGCCAGCATTTCCGCTACCCAAATCCCCCTCAGTCGTTGGGGGCCCTGGCTACCCAGCTCGTCCCCGGGAACGCCAATGTCCACGCTAGTTGGAAAACACGTAACCGCTATGGAAAGATGCTTATGCGGACCTCATTTACCCCTGCCTATCAAAACACATGTAATTCCATTGGAATTGCAATGAATGGTCTTAATACAGCTGAAAACTAACATTTTGAGGGCTGGCCTGCGGGTTTAGCCAAATGGCCAAATATACCAAGTTCACGATAATCTCATTTATGGGGAATTTTCGAGACGACGTACAATTACATCCGGAGACCATATTTTCATAAATAATTAATTCCTACATTTGGACGACAGTAACTACTGCTTGGATCTTCGCCGAGAAAACCTCAAAAGCCACCCACCCACTGCAGCGAATCACAATATTCTTACACATTGATATTTGGAATCACGTCTGCTAATTTTCAGCGGAATAAGAAACAGCAAGATGTGTACGTTTGGATAAGAGGGCAGAGTCACGCAAATTCTCCACGGGGATGATAATGGGAATTGTACTAGGGGTACGCGGAAACGTACTTCGTACTGTTCGTTTATTTCCATGTCAGTGCTGTCAGCCTGATGTAGTCCGCTTCTGGGGTACATCCCACCACCGCCCATGGCCTGGAACGAACAACATATCCAAATATATCTAACCAGAGTTTAATGACATTGCTCAACATATCTATCTCTTCGCCTTCTCATCTTTTTGTTTTCATAAACAAGACATAGTGTTCTATTAAAAGAGGTACATTACAGTACATTCAATATTTCCAGAACCATGTAATGAATATTTTTGATTGAAATGTGGTTAATGTTTAAACTGCTACGGTTACTTGAGGATGACACATACATCTCCTCCACAATCTTTTGAAATATCATCTAGCATGCGTAAGCCGTATGAGAATCGCCTCTCTCAATATTGCACGGAGTGAACTTTTTTCATCAACCGTATTTATTTAGTCAAGTATTGTGACTTTGGGAGGAGTGTGATGTTTCCTTTTCTGTATATAAACTTGCTGTCCCTGACTTAAGATGGAATTGCTCAGAGCTACTCAAAGGGCTGATTGTGGATTGATTGCATCGGCATCTGCTGCTGCTCATAGTGAATCAGACAACTACATCAAGGATGCAGTCCATCGGAGGTGAGATGTCGTTTATATCGATATCCAGTGTGGAGAGCAATCTTTGATCAAATGATATAGGTGTAAGTGTGAGATAACATTTGAACGTCCAAAAAAAAAAAAAAAAAAAAAAAAAAAAAATTTCCTTTTGAATGGTTTGTAAATCATTTAGAAATTATTGTCCCCCTTCCCGAGAGCCCCACTCGTCCAATATTTTGCCTCTCAACAAATTTCTCGGCATGGCTTCCCTAGAATGCTGCAGACATCGCTTTCTGATGGTATGAACGGTATTCGAGGAAACCAAGTGCAGTAAGGACTTACTTACATGACCTGCGAACTTCGTATAGCTTGTGCTAAATCACCTGAGAAGTATAAGCTTTACAGCTTCAACGGTCCAAGTAAGATTCTGCTTCACCAGTCTGTGACGACCCTGGGAAAGAACCGTGGCAATAGGTCCATGTAGATACAGGCGACCTTGATTGTTCTTAGCTGGGTGGGTGAACCCCCAACGATATCCAATCACCCATCCATCGAAATCGAGTCTGCATCCTCATGTGGTTTCCTTTCTACCATTTCATTCACACCGGCTCTCTACGTTCCATGGCAAAGTCATAATAATGGTTTAAGCAAAAGGTATTCGGTGTAAAGCGTCAATGAGAATGGAAGTTCTGTACCATCTGAAGCGACCTTAGGGATCTTTGAGTCGTTGCTTGGAGACAGGGAGACTGTAACCCTGAGTCTGAATGAAGTATTGAAGGACTGCATGGGGATCCGTGCTTGTAGCCGTCGCAGTTTCCCAAGGGTTGAAATCCCCTGAACGTGACGAACTCCGGATTGGGGAAGCAGGGACGAGGAGAGCCCATCTCTTTCCAAATTCGTATGTTGCTGGGGAGACGAGTGGTGCCTTCTATATCCTGAGAAGCCTCGGGCCATCTTTCGAGGGCGAAAAAAGAAGTGCTTGGGGGAAATAAATGTCGTCATTTCGAAGCTGCACTTCCGGTTTAGGCAGGGGGAAGCAGCGTCTCGTCTCGAGGTAAGAGACGCCACACGGTACAGTGTATAGGGCAGGAACTGGGGACAAAGGTTAGCCAGGGCCCAACTTAATCGTGTTGTGGGGGAAACAAAAAAAAGTCGTCATTTTGTCCTCTCTATGTCAGTATCCATGTTCGGTCTGTTCTCATATAAAATCCTTCATCCTGATCTTCAACGGTCTTCCATAGCATATGCTTCTGGGAACTCGGCTAGCATCGATAACCCTTCATATTTGAAAAACAACTGGTCCTCCGAATCATTCGCACGCGTTCAGTCGATCGCCGCAACCGTTTGCCCCTGGTCTGATAGTCATAATCTTGGAAAGCGAGGAACAATGGGATCCAAAATCAAAAAGGTCAGAAAGAAGGGTCCGAAAGGGAACGAGGACAAGGGCGGAAAAGTCCCTCATTCCACGTGTCCTCCTTCACCAGTGGACTCCAGCCACCGTGACGCATATAATTCAATATCTGGAACGAACACCGCTCAAAGTCCCGAAGCTCCTTTTTGGTCGGCACAAGAGGATGGCAATCTCCTTACTAAGAACATCAATATCAGGGGGAGAAGCAGTAACGGAGCCGCAACTGCTTTTGCTCCCGATTTTGGCGGAGGAGATGTTGCCATATATAACCCTCGATCTGCTGCTAGTGTGCAATGGGAGTTACCGCCGCTTAGTGGGGTGCTTGATGTCATCGCCACAGACGCCAAAAACCATGGCTTCCCATGTATCGAGTATCCGGTGACCGAGAATACCCAGTATTTAAACAATATGTCAAGACGTTTCCCGCCTTTTGTTGGAGAGATGGGGTCCACGAGGAGTCAGGGAATAAGCATCCCACCGCCGGATCCCCGGGTCTTCAGATACGGCAACCACACTGGGCTGACGAAACTACCACGTCTCTACGCTGTGCTGGATGACATCGCAAACGACTTGGAGAACAGAGTAGGAGGCTTCCCGCCTATTGAGTATGCAGTGAACAGTACGTCAGAGTACCTACTCAACATGGTCGGGGCTTTTCCAGCAATCTCCCCCGACCACTTCCCGGGAATATGCAACGCGCACAATGACGCTAGCAGCACCGGCTCAAACTGTGCTGTTATGCCCAGCTCCGCAAGGAATAGCAGGGAACCGTTTACGATACACAGCAGAACGATGACCCCTGAGTTATCAAACTCGCTTTTGAATCAACCGCTCGAAAAGGGGAATTCTGTCGACAATCCTCTGAAAACAGAACAGTGCGACGAAAGCCTTATCAATGAAGAAAGGGATTAGAGACTAGATGTCTATAGGCGCCAGATCTATGGTTTGTTATGCCGTGTCAATATAGGTATTGAATGTCCTGCACCTAGGAAAATGCAGAATTCGAAGAGGAAAACTATCGTCTCAATTTAAAAGAAGGGGACCTGGTCCTATCATCACAACAAAATATCTGACTTCGGCCACGCATAAGGCAAAGCATATTCGGAAGCGGATACGCCTGCTGAGCACAAGAATTGGGAAGTCTGGAGGAATAATAATAAAAAAAAAAAAAAAAAAAAAAAAAAAAAAAAGCGAGATCAGATCAACTGATATCATCTGCTGGGACTCCAAAGGTCTAGCCGCCACTCTGCACCAACCATTCTGTACTTGAAAAGTCTTATTTTTGAAATCTTTTTGATCCGCGATGAATTTGTGGGAGTTGGTTTATCGGCGTCGAATGGTTTGGTAAATTGGGAAAATCGGAAGCCGGAAGGATTAATCATGGTCGTTGTTGGTTATCGATAGGTACTGGGAGTGCGAAGAGCCTGTATATAATAATAGATCGCAATAAGTAGGTCGAAAATTGCCGTCTTTTATTCCGCGCTGTTGTTATTTCTTCCTGCGTGTGTAGATTGGATATCGAATTGGGGCTCGTTGGGGGAAGAAGGTTGGAAATACCATCGACATCAAGCTCGGTAGTGCCTATTTTAGGTTTTGCCCTGCTTCAACCTTTCCCAAATGTGTTCACAGCAAGACTGCCGCGGCAGTACTCCATACATACGACTAAATAGATCAGCCAAAGAGCATTCTCCCGTGCGCACGACTACAACGACCGATTTTACATTAATCAAACACTGAAACGAGCAATGGACCCTTTTTCAGCTGAAGGAGGTAAGTTATTTCCTCCACCCATTTTCCATTTCATTGGTTGTCCACAACTGACGCCTGAGCCGTCCAGAGCTCCTAAACATCCACAATGCTTTCCACCAAGGCCAATATCAAGAAGTAGTCGATTTCGATACCTCCTCCTTCTCTCCTGAAAATAGCCTCACTGCTCGTATTCTTAAACTGCGCGCTAGAATCGCACTCGGACAAACCCAAGAGGTCCTTGCAGATGTTGGGAGCCAAGATCAAGATGTACCTGATCTGGCAGCTGTTAAGGTGCTGGCGCAACATGTTGCGGGAGATGAAGCTGAAGCACTAAAAGGAGCAGAGGAACTTATAACGAGTCACTCGGATAATACAACCACTCAGGTTCTTGTAGGAACGGTGTTGCAGGCCCAAGGGAAGAGCGAGGACGCCTTGTCGTTATTATCGAAACATCAGGGCAGCCTTGAAGCGTGAGTGGCATATGTGTCTACCATGACGTCTACAGCTATTATGTCGTCGCTGCTGCTGGAATAGATGTTTCCTGCTTGTTTGAGCGTCACACTAATTCTCATATCCTGCTTTCCAGCGTCGCCTTAATTGTCCAAATCCACCTCCAACAAAATCGCACGGATCTTGCGCTGAAGGAAGTCCAGGCCGCACGACGGTGGGCTCAAGATTCGCTTCTCGTCAACTTGGCTGAGTCCTGGGTGGGATTGCGAGTGGTATGGCTCGAGATTCCTAGATGACCTCGCAAATTTTACCTACAACAGTTCTTCTGACCATGACCAAACAATATAGGGTGGTGAAAAATACCAATCCGCATTCTACGTCTACGAAGAACTTGCCTCTGTGCCTAACACATCGTCACCGCTTTCAATCGTAGGCCAAGCCGTTTCTGAACTACACCTAGGTCGTCTGCCGGAGGCAGAAGTCGCTCTCCGATCAGCGCTGGAGAAATACCCCAACGACGTTCAATTAATTGCAAATTCGATCGTTCTGAAAGTGTTGAGCGGGAAAGATGCGACAGAGCTAACATCGTGAGTAACCCTTTAGCGTCTGTAGTGTTGGAAAAGCGGGTGCGTTTGGGCACCAGAGCGTATCACCAAAGCTAACCAAATCATCTCTCCTTCCGACATTGCCTTCATAGATCTCTTGAAAAGGCACAACCAGATCACCCATTCCTTACTGACCTGGCTGAGAAAAGCGCATTTTTCGATGCTGCAGCATCGAAGTACGCAGCAAAGGTGTCTTCATAGTATTTCTGTTCTTTATAATATAACCACTTCCATTTCTACGTTAACATCATTCATTTTTCTTGAAAAAAAACAAAAAATATATTCAACTGCTATTTTCGTCCCATTTTTTCAGGTTTATACTCTTTCGTTCCGTGTCCACTTATGTAGTTCGCCAGGTTCAAGTCGTTTAAACTATAGAACAATCGAGCTTGATAAACTGAAATGATGCCAATGTGTCTTTCCAATATACTCAACCTGTATCGGTGAAAACTTATGAATTTAATTTCTTAGCTGGCTGTAGTTCAGAGCTACACGATTTACACAACGACTCGACACCACGGTGAGAACTCAGTATTCATCATCCCGACCCCCTACATACAGTACATTTCTGCACTTTCACCATCCGTCGGACTCCGCTCATCAAAGTTTCGACATCAAAAACGACGCATATGCTTTCCCCTGCTCTGTTTCCGATTGATCACCGATCATCAAAGATATGATGGGGCCGTTGTGACATTCATGCTCGCCCACAACGAAAGTCGTGCTCGGGAATGCGGTCTGTTTGGGACAGGAGAACATACCATCAAGGGTTAATTTCCAAGCTCGATTAAAACCGATATATAATAAACTCTCTGATCAGATAACATACATACAATCCAAAGGGGAAACACAGCACTGACCTTGAACTTTTCAACGAACTGCCCAATAGGGGAACGAGAATAAATCATCCGAGCCGCTCAAAATCAGCACATCCCTTACTTTAAGATCCTTCCACCAATCTGCTGGCGCTCTAAGCGGCTCCATATAATTATCCGGCTCCGAGCCTGCAGCGTACAGTGACGACCACCTTTCCAGGGCCGAGGGCGCAAGTATATCTTTATTCTTGTTCTCCTCTACAGAGGGATAATCCAGAGAGAACGAGACCCATGGCGAGATAGGCAAGGCGCCAGCTAGGGGCTCAGAAAGTGCCAGGGGTTGGATTGCCTTGTGCGGATGGGAAATATGGGAGAGAACGCCAAGCGAGAGATTGCCACCAGTGGAGTCCCCTGCGATGAAAATGTCTGAAGGGCTACGGCTGGTTGTATTAATTATGTAGCGGAGTGCCTCGACGGCTTGCGTAGGTTGGGTGGGGTAGACGGCATGCGGAGTGAGGGTGTATGTAATGAAGAAGATGGCGATATCTTTGCCGGCAGCCTTGAGCTGGTTCAGGATGTCATATTGGAGCTGGAAAAATGCAGGACCAGCCGCAGTTGCAAATCCGCCGCCTATGATGCAAGGAGTAGGGCAGGTTAATGTCGAAAGGTATAAAGATACATGAACAATACACGGCAGGTGTTTGATAGGACGGATGATTTAGGAAGCATACCATGGTAGTAAATCAAGACATTCTTCGCGTCTTTATTCCCGATCCAATGGCCCTGTGCACCATGCTCTAACGACACGGTCTGCGGTGTGAAACCATTTTTTGTTGCAAAGAGTTCATATGCCTGATTAGTTGGGGGGTTGAGCGCCCTAGAAACGGAGGCAATAACAGGGTCTTCAGGCAGCTATGTTCTGGAAAAGATTTATGCCACTTACTGCAACTGCCTCGTCGAAAGTCGGGTAACCGCAGCTCTGATCAGAGCATAGCCGACATGCTTGTTGTAATGCTTCTGCCCGCGCTGTCCGCGAAATACGCCAGTGATGGCCACGTAGATTGTACTTGCAATTAACGAAAGCCCAGTTGAAATCATATTCAACTTCTCAACGACAGTGAGCTTCGGGGGATGGCTGGCGGTATCCATCTTAATGGGGTCTGAGAGACAAAAGTTAGCAGATTCCCTCGTTAACTCGAGCCAATTCCAAATGAACAGTTTTTGGGAAGAAATCGATATCTTTGTTTCCAAGTACTAACTCTTCGATATTCGTCTCTCGGTTTTGAAAATGTCTCCTCACTCACGGGTATGAACCTGACAAATTGCAATGAATACAAGAGCAACTATCTAAGCCAGATTTTGGCTAAAGCCGTTGTCAATCGGAGCTGGAACGAGCTCCAACCAAGGGGACGCTAGATTGCAAACTAGTGAAATAAATGTTGACGGCTGGAGGGCGATTTGTATGGCTGTCCCCGTTTCCCATGAACTGCGAGCCCACATCCATATCTTCAGGATATTATTATGATCGGGTAAGCAATATCATTCAACCAGCCAAGGACAGGGCTACCATATCATTTCGCATGTGCTGGAGGTGGATCAGGGTCTCTCGAGGTCCAGCCAGACCCACGAAGCCTGCAATTTGGTGAAAGGGCCGTCTTTATGGTAGCAGAAGTATCAGTAGCCCCAAGGCACTCGTGTCCTGGTTCCTCGGCTTGAACTGGAACTACCCTGTGTAGCCGCAGCTTCTAATTTCAAGGTTGAGATCGGATTAGAGTTAAGGATCGATCTAGGGTTAGCTAGTTGGCATCTTGTTAAATTACGTCACTACTATGTAGTTTGCAAGCATTCAAACAGCTGCTTCCCTGGGTCTATCCCACCAGCCACGCAATAAGAACTCAGGATATAACAGAATGTTTTAGCACATCGTAGAAATGCTTCTATTGTCCCAAAATAGTAGTTTTGACATTAAACCTCAGGGATATTGAATTTATATAGAAGACGGAGGAGATGTAATATCTCTCAGAGAAAACGGAAAGGGAAGTTCCAATGAACAGCCAACAAGGCATTCCGGCTTCACAAGCGCCCATTAACAACATCCTCAGAACGGTCGAGTTCGCAGAATGCCTTGAAAGTAGTGAACGATTGATCATCTCCCTCTGCCACGGTGCTCTCTAGGACACACTCAGCGTTTGCCCCAATAAAATACACGTAACCCTCCTTGACTTCTTCTGTTTTGGCAGGCCCTACGCTTATCTTTCCCTGGCCATTTGTGCAGATGAGAATACTGGGGCCATTGATGGCTTCAAAAGTCGCCTTAGCACCGCCGCGCTTCAGCTCTGTCCTTACGACAGCGAACTCGTCGATGGGCGGGTTATAGAGCAAGGATGTTGAATTGCTTGAATATGCAACTGTGTTCATTGTCATATAGGGGTATTCCGTGGGCTCCATCTTCTGTTCTTCGATAGGCGCGTAGTTGTAGGTGAGCATGTTCGCTAGGGTGGAAACATCTTTGAATTTGGGTGTAAATCCAGCTCGAACGACGTTGTCAGACGAGGCCATGCACTCTATGATGTCTCCGGAGATGTATGCATGGATATCATCTGCCTTGAGGAACATCGCTTCACCTGGGGACAATTTGACGAAATTAAGGAAGAAAAATACGAACAGCCCAATGTCGTTGGGGAACTGGCCATTTAAGCGTGTTGCTACCGCCGCCAACTCCTCTGGGTTCGAAGGATTGGTTGAAGGTGTCGATTCTGAAATGGCAAATGTGGTTGGAGAGTCTTTGGCAATCGAAATAAGTTTCGCTGCAGCAGTAGATATGGACTCTGGTGTAGATGTCATTAACTTTGTAAACAAAGACTTTAACGCAGCTTTGTTCCTTTCCGTGATAATAGGATCTGCGGATACTTCTTGACCACGCACTGCATTTTCGAATGTTTCAGCAGCTTCCGGCCCCACAAGCTCTCTTAGGGGCTCTAAGACACGAAGGAAATGGACAATTTCGGCCAAGGGCCGGAAGCCACAGAGGCCCTCAAAGGGGGTGATAGCAATTGTCATCTCCGGCTTATGGTTATCATCTGGAGGAGATATTAATCGATATTTCGGGTTTATATTTGTCAATGAGTTACTAACCAGGGTAGTTCCGTGGATCCTTCTCGTGAAGTGTCGCTGCCAGTTTTTTGTTTGGGTGTGCTTGAATCGAGAGCGCTTTCCGGATAGAAAGGACCTTGAAGAGGAAAGGCAATTTCCCTCCATATCGCCTAGTAATTTCTTGCGACATCAATTCTTGGTTGTATTGCACCAGGTCCAGCAATGACCGTTGGGTTTCGAAATCTTTGGAAGGCAGTGAGGGATGGGTGCCCATCCAAAGCTAGCGAGGTAATAATAACTATCAGTGTCCGACAAAGCAAGATCCAAACCATTCAATCGGAATCAAAGTACCTCTGCATACGGCCTCTCATCCTGGATAGAAAGATTGCTTGAAGGTGTCGCTGCAGCGTACCTTGCCGCAGCAGATTCCTGGCCGATCTTGCCTAGATGACATCCGCAACATGAGTGACAGGATTGAATATAGAGAGGTTATGAAATAAATATATACCCCAATCATAACTATTAACACCTATTTAATAACAAGCAATGTTAGCAGCAGACAATGGCTGGAGGCCGCAAGTTCAAAATGAAACTTACCACACTGCAGCCGGAGGAGGGGCACCTGCATATTGAAGGAGGGGAGTGGAAGAGTTCAGGAAAGGTCAACTGCCGCTCAATTGATGATAGAAAATTAGCAGGAACAAGGCATCAAGTGCCGATGTGCGTTTTTATTCTCTGTATCTTCAACTAACACAATTGCTCTTCAGTCCACTCCTTCAATCAATGCGAAGTGACGTGGGCGTGAGGGGGATTCCCTAGCTTAGCTAATCCCCAGCTTACCTGACTCCGCTCTCGTGACTGGAGCAAGCCCTAAGGCTAGACCTTGTTACAATGCCCAATCAAAGCCGCCGGCTGCCGAATAGGGCTAATGATGACGTCCATGTACCGGCCCTCGTTTTCTCCGCGAGAAATGGGCGTACCATATCAGCTACTCCTGCGATCCCAGCATCTTTGGTTTCTTCGACAACACTTCAGATACATACCCCAGACTGTGGAGGATCGGATAGCAAAAGCGGTGAGCTCAATCCAGAAGAGTGCGGTTGTGGGATTGCTACGAGCCCAAAACCATCCTTGCCCGCCTCTGTCCGTGCTACGGCATATACCCCCACACATACCCAGTCGGCAGTACGCACACGCAAACAAACAGAGGGTAATTTCGAGCTTCAAGTATTATCAGGTTCGGAGTGGGAAGCTGTTGATATTGCTAAAGCCAGGGAAACTGAAGAAAAGCAGGCAAAAGCGAAGAGCAAGAAGGGCCCCAAGGCCCTCAGCAACCTTCAGTTGAATTCCGAACGTGAAAAGCGGAGAATGTCACGAAACAGACCAAGGGGCCCTCCCACCCGGGACAACGGCGCGGCTGCCAATGAGGAAATTGAAATGTGGAATCGAATACGTCAAGATATATTCAAGGCTGCTGAGAAAAATGAGAAACAAAAAGTCCCAGGGCTCCAACTCGCTGCACTAAAGGAGAAAATTACAAAAGCCAGCCGAAGTGAGTGTACAATTTACATTTATTTTCCTTCCCCATATCACAGTTTTTTCCTCTGTATCCTTCTGCAATCTTAAAGTCCACTTGCTGGTTTCAGATCGCGTGGACAAACTTCACTCTTTTTTTTTTTTTTTTTTTTTTGGGGGGGGGTAGGCGGGGGAGGCCGCGGGGCGGGGGGCGAACTATCTGCTAATGACTGGGTCTCAGAAGCCACGCCATCTGAGCTTGAACAAATGGAAAACTACGAGCGTATCATAAACAAGTACAGCGAAGAGGAACGTGCTATCTTACGTGATGAGCCAGCAGATGTCATTAAAAACCTCGAGATCCTAATCGCCCTACGCTCAGCGTCCGAGGCTGACCCTCAGCCCCGCACCGGGCCCGCTGGCAAGCCACGGAAACGGAAGACAGAATCTGACACCCCAGCTTCCGATTCTCCCACCACTTCGATGGCCGATAAGCTAAATCGGCTCAAAAGCAGCACCCATAGAAGCGCTAGCGTCTCAAGCAACCAAGCCCGTGAAGCGGTTTCTGTCAAGAGTGAGGATGGAGGTGAGGGCACCAAAGGTACCGCAGCAGAAAAAAGTGGACATCTATTCGTTGGGGCAGAAGTTGTTTTCAAACACAACAAGAAGCAACAGGGTGTGGAGGGTGAAGGCATACAATGTATCATCAAAAGCATAGCGGGGGAAGGTCATAAGAAACGGTAAGCCCTCGCAGCAGCTCCACCGGGTTTCATTTTTGTGTTGACAACAGCCCCAGTTACGATGTCCAAGATCCGGAACCCAGCGAAAACGGCGAGGAAGGTGCGGTCTATAAAACATCTGCAGCTTCACTAATTCCCATTCCCCAAGTCGGCGCTTCACTGCCTTCTTTCTCCGTTGGAAAACAAGTCCTCGCCAGGTATCCCGATACCACAACATTTTACCGTGCCGAGGTAATGGGCTCTAAGAAGGACGTATATCGATTGAAGTTTGAGGGAGAGGAGGACGACAAGGAGATGGATGTCGACCGCCGCTTTGTGCTCGACATTCCCGGAAAATAATAAGGCTGGCCTTATTATTTGACAACACGGCCTCCTCATAGTCGGTACTTCTATGTACGGTCCATGGGCGTGCACGTACGGTTAATTTGTGTAGCAGCACTTATTCGTTTGTGTTTCATATCTCTGGTTTTGTTTCTGGTGTGGTTGCGATTTCATCCTAGGATTGGTACACCTAGTGGTGTTGGATACAAGAGGTGGGGTTGGGTTTTTGATATGGGTCCAAGTGCTATTGGGACTGGAGTATCGGCTTACACGTCTTTTATTTCTATTGAATTTTGTATACGGTGGTATCCTGTTTATGTTTCCTATGAAAAAGGACTAGTAATATCAGGACCACACAATTTAACCTTCAAATTTTGAATACCGTCTAGGAATTCCTAACAGCACCGTTCTCTGGAACCTATGTAACTTCGCCAGAAGCAGCGTATGGCTGACTCAGCCGGACCGAGGCTCCATCATGACTGACAAATTCGAAATATTGTTCCACGCTCGTGGTATTGACATAAAACCTTTCCAAGATTCATTCTCCTATCCATTGTAGTATTGGGTGTGCTAATGCCATAGTTACCCTATAACTTCCAACCGTTTCACTGAATGTAATTTCCAAAATGTCAGAGTTTCCCTCTCATGCCTCCCCATGCCTCTCCCCGCGGCCCCTCCGTCCAAATAAGCCGACGGCCACCGAATACTCACTTCCCGAAGGCCTAAACAATGCGCGTACGTCCTCTCCCTCTTCACCGACCCGCGATCGATCTCTCAGCGACGGCAGCACCCAAAGTACGCACGACTACCTCGAAATCCCCAGTCAAACGAACACTCCTACGATACCACACTCCCTTATTTCACCCGCTTTCACCCCTCCAGCTACCCCTTACAGCCTCACAAATGCTTACCTGCCGACTAAATTGTCGTCATCGACGACAGAGTATAGAGATCGCATGGTCAATACGAAGCCACCCAAATTGCTACCACGCCTACCAAAGGTTGAATGTATCGTTCGTGCGCGTATCCCGACAACGGGGGGTGCGGAAATGTTTCTGCATCTCTATCACAATGATGCGGATAATAAGGAACACTTGGCAATCGTGTTTGGAAGCTCGATTCATAGCCGGAGTTTGAATAGGGTGCGACCCGGGGAGACGGAGATGGATCGCATGATTCGTGGGGCGTATGTGGGGAGATTGTATCCGGGGAGGCAGAATAGCAGGTTTGATGGAGGAATGGTTGACAGGAAAAGCTCGTATGACTCTCAGGGAGCTGTGCACAAAGGACGTCTTCTCAACGGGTGGCGTTGATTCCCTGTGG